TGCTGTGACCGGAAAAGAATCCACAGCACATCATCGCCTCATCATCATCATCATCGACGGCCTGATTAATCACCACCTTCGTCAACGCTGCGAACTGCCATCGTAATCGTGACTCACTGCCATCGTCAGGATCACCATCGTTATCATCATTATCATCAACTCCATCATCTCTGCTATCGAAAAAAAATCACCGCATCCACACATGGCCCGTACTGTGCGGAGCAGTTTTCGGAGCTGCCCCAACACAGATTAACGTAAAAAGGCATAGAGTTGCAAACAAACCTGGAAAATCTGCATACGACGTCTGCATCCCAGACACGGCCTGGTGCCAGGTCTGTGCGCGAACTTGAAATAGTACGAGGACGGCCCAGACGATGGACGAAATGTGAAGCGACGAAGACATCGAGCCGAATGTAACGTGATCTCATGGATTCTGACAGTACGGCATGATCTCACGTACATCCGTCCCGAGATCCACACGTCTGTTCCGTACCGTCAAGGCCAACCTGAGGACCAAATCTTCGAAGCGAGTAGCTAGGCTTGGGGCAAATCATTCTACGTGTCTAGTTCCTAGCTCGACCCAAGTGAAGTCTGAAAAACAGGAGTTTGGCTGAGAACCCGCGTAGTTAGGCCCGACACAACCAAAGAATCCTGGCCAAACGGAAGGGAAGCAAAAAGCTTAAAGTGAAGTCTGAAGAAGATAGGAGTCTGGCTCGGCCTGGAACAACAGGGAACCTGACTCGTGCCTGGTCCAGGCGAATGAAGCAGCGAAGCCCCCCGGCACACCTGGGATGAAATCAGGCCTCAAACAGAGCATGCCTGCGTAAAAAGCAGCACAAGTGGAAAGAATTCGGGATGGGTGTGCATGCGAGTGAGGAGGAGCAGCCGATCGAGGAGCACTGTGCGGGCTGCAATGAGAAGAGGCCGGCAACCGGGCAGCTTGCTGGAACTCGGCGTCCAGACACACTGCGGGGGCGGACGCCGAACGCGGAGGCGGGGCCAGCCTCTTAGCATCCGCGAAAAAAGCGGATCAGCGCAAGAATTTGCATAATAATCAATAATGATAATAATAATAATATGTGCTCTGCTGGCGATGCGTGTCTGTACGTTGTTACTGTTTTTTCTAAAG